CAGATCCTTTCCCAAGCATGCCTACAATGACCTTCCAACTAAGGCTACACTCTGTGTATCTAGCGAAGTGGGCCACAGTCCTGCAAGACTTTCTATTGTTATTCTTCTTTATGCTGCCTCTTCTATTTTTACCTTGGAAACAACCTTTACTTTGAAAGCAGGGAAGGAAAGTTTTAGCTTCATCCCTAGGCACATTCTTTGAAAAGATGAATTCTAAAAAGCTCCAATTAATCTGGAAGCAGCCATCAAGTATTTCTGCCATTATATATTAGGATAAACATTTCCCACTGTCTTGCATTGCTTCAGACATCAAGAAATCCCACCAGGCATTCAAAATTCCTGTTTGTTTAGTTGAATAATGCAAATATTAGTGGCAGAGTATAACATTCCTAGGCTCTCCTGAATTTGTCTAGGGCAATTTGAAGTCATACTAGGGATGATTACTCTGTGATATGAGATAATTACAAGAGCTGGTGTTAATAAAAGGCCTCTATGTGGTTCATGAGCATATATTTTTCTTTCAAACCAGAATTTAAGAAGGGGCAGAAATCACATGATGTAGGTGGCTGTCGGCAGCCTCCCAAAAGCCTTTTTTCTTTTTGGGCTCCCAAAATCACCCCCTAAGAAGAACAATTATTAGCAAAAATAGGTCCCTTTCCCCCTAAAACCTGGAAGTTCTGTTTTCACTTCCCAAACTGGAAGTGACCTTTCTATCTTTTCTAATTCTTTTGGAAGGGGCTCTCCTGCCTTCCTATGGGACATGGTGGTGCTGCGGGTTAACCCGCAGAAGCCTCTGTGCTGTAAGGTCTGTACATCTTCAGCTGTAAGATCGAATCCACGCAATGGAATGAGCGCCTGTCGCTTGTCCCAGCTCCCGCCAACCTAGCAGTTCGAAAGCATGCAAATGCGAGCAGATAAATAGGGACCACCTCGGTGGGAAGGGAATGGCGTTCCGTGTCTAAGTTGCACTGGCCATGTGACCACGGAAGATTGTCTTCGGACAAAACGCTGGCTCTATGGCTTGGAAACGGGGATGAGCACCGCTCCCTAGAGTCGAACATGACTGGACCAAAAATTGTCAAGGGGAACCTTTACCTTTACTTTCCTGCCTTCACTTCCCTCTGGTTTTATCTGCAACCCTCCTATAGGGGGAAAGAACCTGTAAGTGGTCTCACACCATTGTAGGGACGGCACCCCATTAGAGCCAGTGGATTCTAGCTCCACTTCCTCACAAACTAGCTGTAGCTCATTGACAAAGTGTGATGAAGGAGGAGGGGGGTCAGAAAAGAGACTCAGTGCCTCAACAATTAGCCACACCAAATGGTGCAAACCAGGAGGAAGAATTTTAAAATAACTAGGACAACCCACAGAAACAACTGGCTTTCTGCTTTTTAAGGGGAAGCGGTGATAAGAGTGAAGCCAGTTCATTCCACACACATTGCCTCTTTAAAGATTTGTCTGGGACTTTATATTATACGATAATTTAGGAAGGAGAAACACTGGATCACTTTAAGATAGGCCTGAAGTGGGTTCTCTGTCTTCTCATTAGACAATTCAGACATATGCCAGGAAGCCTATTTTCCAAAAACCAGTTTTTGACCCAAACACATTTCACTATTATTGTCATTACAGTTGGAAAGGAAAAGGTGGGCAGAATTAAAAAGAGTGCACAGTTAATACTGAAAAAGAAAAACATCAGTAACAGTAGAGTTAAGCATACAGGTCAACATAAGCAGTTCATATACCGGAAAAATCTCTAGGTTCCCAACCTATTTTGAGTCGTGATCCCCCACCACATTTGCATAAAAAGGCATATTTAATGACATAAAGAAAACACATTAAAATTATTTTTTTTCCAGAATATAATTCTAATCTATTAATATGAATGTAATAGCACATAATAATGGGGGAGGGGCTGTAAATCTACCTCTACCAGATAAAATTGAAGAAAAAAACCCTGTAAATACACTTTTGAGTTTCATTTGGAAACTGCCTTCCCTTCATGTCTTCTCCCCCCAAAAAAAACCCTCTGAATGAAGAGCTCCTCCACCTCAAACCCCCAAACACCTCCCCCATTTGCTTCCTTCCTTGTTCTCCACCCTCACCTTCGTCCCCCCTTTGCCTTCGTCCCCTTCATGATCAGGGGTATCGTCCAGGGGTATTCATCCAGGGTATCGTCTCCCTTCACTGTGCTGCGATCGCCACTAGTAGAGGAGCAGGAGACTCAGACGGAAAGAGGCCACTGCAGTGACAGCAACAACTTTTCCATGCTGCTGCCATCGTGGGTATCCGCGTTCCTCTCCTGCATCACACGCTTGCCTCATTCAGGGCGCTTTGAGCCGGGCTGACACTCGGGGTCCAAAGGGCTGACAACAGTCCTCCAAAGGTGAATGCAGAGGAGCAGAGAGAAATGAGTGAGAGCAGCTCTTTTGGAGGGGGTAGGAGTGATGTCCATGCATAAAAGGAAAATCTGCCCCAAAGGGTAAATAAATGGCTAAGAATTCTAAGTTCCCTGCAATTCCAGTTCAGATTAAATTTATCTCTATGTGGACAAAGAGGATTAAAATAAAACAACATTGTTTACACCGTATTCAATATAACAAATATAAAATAACTACAACTAAAAATGATTGCAGTGACCACCCCCACCCCCGAAAACCCCCTGAGGGTCACAGCTCCCAGGTTGGGAACCTGTGATCTAGACAAAGCCGATAAGTATAAAAATGGTGTTCAGTTATAGTTGGAGCTGGGAGATCTTCAGATCGATAGGGCATGTTTCACTTCCCAGCCTTTGAGCTTCTTTACCAAAAGAAGGATGCACAGGATCCACTTGTGCTGCCCCTCCCTAATTCCTCGTCTCAAGAGTATAATTTAAGAGAACCGATTATTGCTTTGCATTCGATCCCAATATTTTTGTATACTTCTGTACATTTATATATTTTGATGTTTTATTTGTGGTTGGTCTTTTGACTGTAATGAAGTTTTATCTATCTAAGAGAAGGTGAGCATCATCTAGGATTAAGTTTTTTTCCTAAAGCAAAACTAAAGTGAACCTTAGTATTCTGCTCAAAATCTGATTCTTGAAGTACTCCTGTATCAATGCAGTAGCGCTAACTGCAGCAGCCAATTGCTCCTAATTATCTTGTTCTCTCTAGTATCCATTGCTGTGTGCCGTTACATTAATTGATGCATAATATACAAGCAGCAAATGGTTAGCTACTGCTGATTCACTGATGCAAGTTATACCATGGTACTTCATGCAAGCGTACTCACAAACGGGATTCTAGCTAAGGATTCTTTATTCTGCTCTAGTTAGGCATCCTTCAGTCTCGAAAGACTATGGTAATGTGCTCTGTACAGAGGACTTGGAACAGCGTTTAGTGTGGCTGAGGCCAATTTGAGAGTGACAATCCCTTCCACACTGAAGACAAATCCAATCTGTCCCCTGTCCAGCTCCCTGATTTTGCTGCTTTTGTGACTTCTTCTTTGCCTTGGCCTGCTGGACAAGGGTCTCTTCAAATTGGGAGAGGCCGTGATGCACCGCCCGCCTCCAGGCTGAACACTCAGATATCAGGGTTTCCCATCTGTTGAGGTCCATTCCTAAAGCCTTCAGCTCCTGCTTGCAGATGTCCCTGTATCGCAGCTGTGGTCTCCCTCTGGGGCGATTTCCCTGCACTAATTCTCCATATAAGAGATCCTTTGGAATCCGACCATCAGCCATTCTCTACTCTAGGTGCTTCATTATCAGATTTCTTGCAATTCAGTGCCTGCCATTGTGATTTCAGATTTCTCCTGAAGAGCTACGTAGTAAGTTCATCCAACAAGACACTAATGCCAAAGCGTTCAAGGCAGATGGCTAATATGGTTATTCAACAATAACTGCTGTTTAGCTATCATGAATCAGAACTTGGAAAAACCTTATCCTGAGTGTTCTGTAGGTTGCATTCTGCTCCCACTGTATTTCTAATTAACTTAAAGTTGAGGATGAGATTTTTTTAAAGTTAATTAGAAATACAGTGGGAGCAGAATGCTACCTACAGAATAATTAGGATAAGGTTTTTCTAAGTCCTGATTCATGATAGCTAAACAACAGTAATTGTTGAATAATAACTAGAGTCGGACATGACTGGACTAAATGTCAAGGGGAACCTTTACCTTTACGCCCTCCCCCAGGTTTTTTGTCTATAAAAATAACATTGTACAAGGCCAATAGAATCACACTTTTCCTATTCCCCATCATGGCTCATGGTCAGAATTTGAGACTGAGGTTGGGAGACATGGTGGCACTGCGGGCTAAATCGCAGAAACCTGTGCTGCAGGGTCAGAAGACCAAGCAGTCGTAAGGAGTGGGCGCCCGTCACTTGTCCCAGCTCCCGCCAACCTAGCGGTTCGAAAGCATGCAAATGCGAGTAGATTAATAGGGACCACATCGGTGGGAAGGTAACAGCGTTCCGTGTCTAAGTCGCACTGGCCATGTGACCACGGAAGATTGTCTTCGGACAAAACGCTGGCTCTATGGGTTGGAAACGGGGATGAGCACCGCCCCCTAGAGTCGAACATGACTGGACAAAAATTGTCAAGGAGAACCTTTACCTTTACCTTGAGACTGAGGTTGGGTTTTAAGGTGCTGTTCCTGTACTTCCTGAATCTACTGAGAATTCTATTTTCTTCAAAGAACGAGGCCCACCTTCAGATAATCAGAATACATCCCTCAGGCTTCTCAGTATGACGGTTCACCATATTTTACATTAGCTATGACAGGATACTGCCTCAATGGCAGAATGACATACATTTGTTGGGACTCCCCCCCCCCAACCTAGCAGTTCGAAAGCATGTAAAAATGCGAGTAAATAGGTACCACCACGGTGGGAAGGTAGTGGCGTTCCGTGTCTAGTTGCGTTGGCCACGTGACCACGGAAACTGTCATCGGACAAACGCTGGCTCTATGGCTTGGAAACGGGGATGAGCACCGCCCCCTAGAGTCGGATATGACTGGACAAAAATTGTCAAGGGGAACCTTTACCTTTACGCACTCCCCCAGGGTTTTTGTCTATAAAAATAACATTGTACAAGGCCAACAGAATCACACTTTTCCTATTCCCCATCATGGCTCATGGTCAGAATTTGGAAGGTGCCATGTAGCTAGGCTGGGATGACTGGAACTCTGATCCAGGATGCTGTTTAAAGGCTCTCAACCTGCCCATTGGTATTTGCTGCTGGAAGGGTGTGACTCTGCCACTCGAGCACAGATGTCCTGTCCAGCCTCTTCTCCTCAGGAAGAAGAAAAAAGTAAATAGAAGACTCAGTGCAGAACCCTTATAGTCATCATATGCTCAGAACCAGGCCTTCCTCCCAGTTCTTCCCAATGTTCTTCCCAAGATGGCCAAATGCCACATGAAGGTCTTGATGCCAAAATTAGTTGTTACAGATCTAGTGTCTTAGGCATTTGGCTGCGGAGCCAGAGGTTGGGAGTTCGATTCCCCACTGTGCCTCCTTGATAGGGGCTGGACTTGATGAGCCATAGGATCCCTTCCAGCTCTTCAGGTATAAAATTTTAATAGTAATAATAATAAAATGCCATATTGCCCTTCTCCCAGCCCCATTTTGTTCAGGCCAAGAGCTGCCAGAACATTTTATCTCTTATTTTCTGACTGGAAGCCCTGCCGTCTCTCAAAGGTAAAGAAAATATTTTTCCACACTCCTGTCATTTGCATACGTCCTCTCCTATGGTAACACTCTTGTGGTTGACAATAAGTTGAATCCAAACCATCAAGAAAACATTTTCCATATTTCAGAGATCTGGAAGGTTTCTCTCCTGCGTCGCTTCTCTGATGCCACACATTCCTCACATTTGAGAGATTTCCTTCCAGCGTGGAATGTGTTATGACTTGATGAATTTTGAGAAAAATATTTCCCACACTCCTGGCATTTGGATGGTCTCTCTCCTCTGTGGACTCTCCTATGAGTGGCAAGGGCTGAATTCCGGTCAAAACATTCCCCACACACTTGGCATTTGTATGGTTCTTCTTCTGTATGGGCTCTCATGTGATTCACAAGGGATGAATTCTCAGCAAAGCATTTCCCGCATTCCTGGCATTTATACGTATGGATTTTCTTATGAATTGAGAGGCTATAATTCTGGGCAAAACATTTCCCACATTCCTGGCACTGGAATGGTTTCTCTCCTGTGTGGACTCTGTAATGCATCACAAGCTTTGAACGATGGGAAAAACATTTCCCACACTCTGGGCATTTGTATGGATTGTCTCCTGTATGGATTCTCATATGATTTTTAAGGAGTGAATTCGTAGCAAAACATTTTCCACACTCCTGGCACTTATACGGTTCATCTCCTGTGTGGATTCTCGTATGAATAACAAGCCATGAGCTGTGGGCAAAACATTTCCCACATTCCTGGCATTGGTACGGTTTCTCTCCAGTATGGACTCTAATATGATTCACAAGCTGTGAATTCTGGGCAAAACATTTTCCACACTCCTGGCACTTGTATGGTTCCTCTCCTGTATGGACTCTCTTATGAATAACAAGCTGTGAACTATAGGCAAAACATTTCCCACATTCCTGGCATTGGTACGGTTTCTCTCCTGTGTGGACCCTCATGTGCTTCAAAAGGTCTGAGTTCTGAGCACAACATTTTCCACACTCCTGACATTTGTAAAGGTTCTCTCCTGTGTGGATTCTCCTATGGATTTTAAGATATGAATTCTGAGCAAAACATTTCCCACATTCTTGGCATTTGTATGGTTTTTCTCCTGTATGGACTCTCTTATGCTTCATAAGTTGTGAGCTCCGAAAAAAACATTTCCCACACTCCAGGCATATGTACGGTTTTTCTCCTGTGTGGACCCTCTTATGATAAACAAGGTGTGAACTCCAAGCAAAACATTTCCCACACTCCTGGCACATGTACGGTTTCTCTCCGGTGTGGACTCTTTGATGACTTACAAGCTGTGAGTTCTGAGGAAAACATTTCCCACACTCTTGGCATTTGTACAGATTCTCGCCTGTGTGGACTCTATTATGCTTCACAAGCTGTGAGCTCCGAACAAAGCATTTCCCACACTCTACACATATGTATGGTTTCTCTTCAGAGTGGACTCTCTTATGATACACAAGGTGTGAACTCCAAGCAAAACATTTCCCACACTCCTGGCACATGTACGGTTTCTCTCCTGTGTGGACTCTTTGATGACTCACAAGCTGTGCACTGCAGGCAAAACATTTCCCACACTCCTGGCATTTGTATGGTTTCTCTCCCGTGTGGATTCTCTGATGGATGAGAAGGCTGGAATTAGAAGGAAAAGATTTCCAACACTCCTGGCATTTGTATGGCTTTCCTCTTGGGTAGATTTTCTGGTGGCTCATGAAGTATAACATCTGATCTAAACATTTCCCAGACACTTCATTCATAATGTGCTTCTTTCCAGTGTGGACCTTTTCATGAAGCACCAGTGCTATCTTCATGGCAAACTGTTTTCCACACACGACACATTCATAGGACTTATCTCGGATACAGCTTTCTTCCTCCGTGTGGGTTCTCTGGTGTCTGGCACACTCTAATTTCTGCGTGAAAGTATCTTCACTTGTACTTACATTTTTCTCCCTCCAGTTATCTGCAGTGAAAAAGGAGAAATGAAGAAAAGGTAGATTTTGTGAAGACGTTGTGAAGGATTTTGATGCATGAAAGCTCACATGGAAAGAAATATGCTAGTCTTTTAAGGGCCATGACAATTAGTCCTTTTCACTTTTTTCCCCTTTAGTTTTGCCAAACTACAGAATAGTGACTCTCTGAAAGGTGCATTCAAGTCAAGCAGCCAATTTCTATGCGTCTCTCCCCTCTGAGACATAATCTCAGGAACCATGCACTCAAAATGGCAACCATCTTTGGCAGCACCTATGTCTGTGAACATACTTTTTCTTGAATGAAACATCTGAAATCTCCAACGAGATCCAGCCTAACTGATGCACACTTGCATCACTTGGTACAAATAACAGTGACAAATGTGGAACCGGACATTGACCACCTCATCAGCCAAAAGCAGGCCCATACTTCCCATTGAAATACTAACAAACTTATGTTCATTAAAATTGTTCTTCATTTTAAATATTGCATTTTTTTCCTGTTTTCTTTTACACTACAAATAAGATATGTGCAGTGTGCAATGGAATTTGTTTGGATCAAGTAAAAAAATGGACCTAGAATATACAAATATAGACAAATATTTAGCTAAAATAGATTTTTATTAATAATAGCTGAAAAATACATTCCAATTCCCTCTTACAAATTTTAAAAATTATCCTCTTGTATATTTTTTTCACTTAAAAACTCATTCAAATAATTAATTCACCCCTATTAAGTAAAAAAAAGGATCTGGGTCCTTTTTTTTTTTAACTTCATCCAATCATTAATTTTTTTTCCAAACTACAGTACGCCCCCCCTCAACAGTCTGAGGGACAATGAAGTGGCCCCCTGTTTAAAAAGTTTGAGGACCACTGGTCTACATGAATCAAAAACTAATTGTGAGTGAATACTATGATGTCATAGCAGAAAAGGGCAACGCCTTAGTAAAATGAACCCTCAAAGAAACTTGGTAAAGAGAAATGTTTATTTTAACTCATTGCTTCCCTCTCTGTTTCAATTTTTTTACAATGCACAAGTTTGTGAAAGACTTTCATTGGTCACCACCCCAACACCTTTTGTTAGTTGGCCTATCCAGAACTGGACACAGCATTCCAGTGAAACTCCAACTGTGGCAGAACACAGTACGACTTTTCTATGATCTATGCAGGATATTTCTATGGAAGCAGCTTAAATTTGTACTAGTCTTTTTCACCTCTAACATCACATGGCTGAGTCCGCATTGGCAGAATAAAGGCCTTGAGATCCAGATTTGAAATGTTCAGGATAAGGACTTAACAAGTATCATTAACCATCAGGATCTCCAAAACCTAATCTATTTCCATGTGCCCCAGATAGAGAATTTTTCACTGTTAAATTACTATGATGTCAATAATTAAAACTGAAACCACGGGAATGTCAACGATCAGTCAAGCAAGGGCATGTGATTCTAACATGCTATGTAATTAATGAAGAATTCCAGAAAACTTTAAAAGCTGCACTCTTGTGCAGCCTTTGGTCAGGTCTCCATAAGGATGTAGCTGTGTTATATTTGTTACAATACATTTGACAAGAGATGAAACAGGCCAAGAAGGAGGAGCTGGCATACCCTTATTGGGCAGTAGAAAAGGAGAAGTTAGAGGCACCCATAGGTGGTGGATGGAGGGAATGGTAGAAGTAGTCAAGGAAAGATAGACGGTCAGGAGATGAAGAAGGTAGAAACTACCATGAGTCTGAGAGAGGATGAAGAACAGGACAAGATACAAAAGAACCCATAGAAGGGACTCTTGTGGAGAAAATGAGCGGAGGGAGGCATGGAAGATCCAGATAGCTAACTCCGTCACGAAACCAGGCTGGAACAGGAGCAAAAGGTGGGACACCCGGTGCAAGGTGTGCAGCAAAAGATTTAAGTGGCAAAAGAGACTTTCAACCTTGTTTTTGCTTTTACTCCAACTCTCAGATTAATAAATAGTTCTCATTTGTTTGCCTCTGTAGCACCTTTCAAGGAGTCTCATCCATGGAAAGCAGCTGCACCAATGGAGTGTGGTGGGGGAACTACCAAGAGTCACATCAATGAATGGCAAAGCATTATAAATATAAAAATATACGTAAATTAGCTGTTATATTAAACCAGAAGGTGGCCAAAATCCTTTTTGAAACATGGGGTTAAAATAATTGCAAACAAGAAATATAGAAGTACAGAACATTGCTAAAAGCCTCTGTCCTTGGCAGTCGGTTTACTAAATCATCACCTCATCATCAGGTCACTTACTAACTATTGCCCGTACAATGAATCTGTTCGGACCAAAACCCCATTACAGGTACACTTCCCCAGAATCTTGTAGAGCAATCTGGAAACTTCAGGTGATGAACAATTTATTCCCACTATAACTGCACATTGGCAAAATTGGCTACAATGATGGGAGCACATCGGGAGGACCACAGGTTACCCAGTATGGCATTGCAGATCCCACAGTCGCTAGCACTCCAACACAGAAGCATTATGCCTGATGTCATTATTACAAGTCATTTTTGCACTGGTAGCAAGAGAGATTAGCATCAGATGGGGAAAGAGTGGGACTTACCAAGAGAAGATACCGTTTGCCAGTTCTCCTTCATGACTTCCTTGTGCATGTTCCTCTGGTTGGGATCCAGCAGTGTCCACTCCTCCCAAGTAAATAACACGGCCACCTCCTCAAAGGCCACTGGATCCTACATGAAATAAAATGCAGGGCTTCCTTATAGGCTGCTTAAAGATAACATTCTCAATCTAAAACAACAAAGCACACAGAGGAAGAGCTATAATGAAATAGAGAAACACTTTTGTTTGGATCCTGCACCATGCTTCTTACATCTCTAGCTGATCCACAAGGAAACAGAGGCATAGAGAGGTATTACGAACAAGGGAATGGGAGGAAAATAATTTCTGCTGCCCCATATTCAGTTTTAACAAAACAAAACAAAAAAAGTCTTCTTCATTTTCAACAGCTAGTTCTAATAATATATAATAATGCAGTCTTTGAACTGCAATGCTGGGGAGACAGACTTCCAGCCAGGAGAGGATTAGAAGCTGTACATCAGCTCAGTGGAAAGGATAAAAGATGTAAGAAAAGAAAAGAAAACACATAAGCATTTGAAGACTTTTAAAAAATCTTGGGCTTGGGCTGCATGACAACTGCAGATGGTGACAGCAGCCACGAAATTAAAAGACGCCTGCTTCTTGGGAGCAAAGCGATAACAAACCCTCACAAACCTAAACAGCATCTTAAAAAGCAGAGACATCACCTTGCTGACGAAGGTCCACATAGTCAAAGCTATGGTTTTCCCAGTAGTTGATGTATGGAAGTGAGAGCTGGACCATAAAGAAGGCTGACTGTCAAAGAATTGATGCTTTTGAAATGTGGTACCAGAGGAGACTCTTGAGAGTCCCCTGGATTGCAGGGAGAACAAACTATCCATTTTGCAGGAAATCAACCCTGTGTTCTTACTGGAAGGACAGATTCTGAAGGTGAGGCTCCAGTACTTTGGCCATCTCAAGAGAAGACTCCTGGAAAAGACCCTGATGTTGGGAAAGTGTGAAAACGAGAGGAGAAGGGGGCAACAGAGGCCTAGACAAGTGGGCCAAGGAGGTGTGATCAGCACTAACTCTAGCGTTAAAGTCTCCGAGAATGAACAGTGTCTCTCTTTCAGGGACTTTTTTGATAGTAACTGCCAGATCATCATAGAATTTGTCTTTCACTTCTGTACTGGATGACAGTGTTGGTGCATACGCACTAATGAGGGTGACCAGTCCTGCTGATGAGTGAAGCTGCAGAGATAGGATTCTTTCACCACCACCCCACAGTAGGTGGAACAATGGATCTCAGAAGAGTATTTCTGACTGCAAAGCCGACATCATATTCCCTGGTCTCATGTGATGGTTTTCCCTGCCAGAAGAATGAGAAGTTTATTTCTTTGACAGATCCTGAGTCTGGCAATCTCATCTCTTGCAGAGCAACAATGTCCATCTGCAGTCTACTCAGTTCCATGTCAATGACAGCTGTCTTGCGCACATCGTCTATTTCCTGCAGGTTGTCAGGAAAGCCATAGTCAGAAAAGCCAGGGATCATTGTCCATACATTCCAGGTGCCCAGCTTTAGGGCAGAAGTTTTCTTACGATTGCTGCATGGTGCATGGTTATCGATCTGCTTGTTGGGTTTCACTCTAAACCCCACTCACCCAGTGAAGTTAACAGACCGTGGTGAGGTAGCACACTGGCTGGAGGCTGCCCAGCTTAAGGCGGGGGTATGTAGCTAGCAATGACCTCTCCCACCATCAGAAGTAGCCCCTGGCGTCATGCTCTGCGCCAATCGAGCACTTTGGAAATGCTATTCTCTGCATGGAGAGCGCCAAGCTGTACCAACCTGCCAAATAAGTACTGTAATTGCGGAAATTTTCATTAAAAAAGGCTACAGGACTAAAGTGGTTGAATACACAGGGATTGAAATCTGCAAAATGTCTTTTACACCCCTTCTCTGTACCTGATCTGGTTCTGCTCCATCACAAGGAAGAAATGATGAAGTACCTGGTGCTGGCATCCTTCCATACCCTGTGGGAGAGACCAAAAAAGGGTGAGAAGTCAGTTGCATGAACTTGTCTCAAATTAAGATTGCAATCCTAGAAATGCGAAGTTGGTCGGTTAAATTGCTTCAAAATTATATAGATCTGAAAACAGAATTGCTTTTATTATGTATGTTATTAGAGGATTTTGAGAACATTTGTGACAATTGGCACTTTCACTCCTGCCACTCAAGCTTAAAAGGTTATTTGCATGAGCCTATGAGAGGGCTGGAGAGGCAGAATCAGCAGCTACATAAGGCTTGGCGGGAGAAGGAGGAGTCAGATAAGGCTGGTTAGTCAGAGAGAGGGAACAGATAGTGAGAGAGATAGAGCTGGTTAGGAAAATAGGTAGAGAAGGTGATAATGATATAGCAAGAGAAAATAAGTACCGGTATGTACTGAGAGGACTGTTGAGGATTTGCTTATGTATAATGTGTATCTGAGAAACGCCTGTTATTATCCAATCTGCTTCACTTCGAATAAATAAGTTCTGTTTCTGTTCACAAGAGAAGTGTTCTGGCAAACATCATTTATATTGTAGATTGAAGTAATCCACTGGTGGCAGCGAGAAGAAAATGTGATGTGAGCCTTTGTGAGGGAAAAACAAGCAGGGGCCACGAGGGCAAGCACCACAATTGGCGTCCAGCTGCGGGATACGAAATAATCCAGTAAAGACAAAGTTTAAAAGTGAATTTTCTGGAGTTGTGAGTAGAAAAAAACGGATTGGGGTGTGGATTCTA